TCGTTGGACGCCGGTGCCCGGTTCCCTGCTTCAGAAGGATGCTGACAGGGCGGGCCTCACCCTTTTGTGCGCTCTGCAAGAGGGGAGGGCGCTAGCCCTCTTCAGGCTTCCTAAGCCAGCCCTCTTCAAGGTGAAGGTGAGGCGAGGAGTCTTGTCAAAAATCAGCTGCCTGGCTTCCACTACCGAGCTTTATCATTTATTTGCTTAACGGAACTCGTCGGTGCCGTCCAGCCACCTGAACTAACAGCCACGGGCCGAAACTTGTATAATTGCATTTATGCGACTGCGGTAGCTGTTTCCGCACACACACGCGGATGGCTGTGAGAAAAGGGAGAGAACGCTTTTTCCCGCTTGGGTCGTTAGGGTGGAGGAACGCCTTTACAGGTGAAATTTCTCCGTGGGTGAACACAGAACATTAATAAGTAGTAAGTGTATCAGAGCAGTGGTACAGAAAGCAGTGCTGTAGAAGTGGTTGTTTAATACATTGTAAGTTCCATTTTATTAATGTGAAGGTAATGTGTATCTAGAAAGATATTTTACTCGCCCTGTTTTTTCTACTGCCTTGCCTTGTTCTAGGTAGTCAAGCCACATACTCCGTTAATTAAGTTCCCGGACAGAAAAAGTAGTCCCAGACCTAAAAGTAAGTTATTTAATCTCTACATACAACTTGTGCTGCCTTTCTTTGCATTAGCTGTTTTATATACAAACCAGCACACAATTTTTCTGCTTCAACTATGCGACTCAACTGATTCTGAGCAGGGTTTCTGACACATAGTTGTTCTAGTTTGAAGGCAACACTTTGACTCTTCAAACTTCATACAACTGTGGGAATATACGTAATACATGCATGTCTTTATTTCATTGTCAAGGCAGATTCAAAAAGATTTCCACTGCTGTTTTTCTACTTACATTAAAGTCTCATTTTTCCAATCACTAATATTTGCCTGAAACGATTGTGCCCAAGTCAGTTTGAAGCAGCTTTAGATATTAGGTGATACCTGCAGAAATGATGTTGCATTTCTGTCATCTCTTTTCTTAGTTGGAGTGTGTGATGTCTGTGGTATTTAGAACCCTGACTATAACTGGGAGAGCCATCCCACTGTATGTTTTAAGAAGTGTTTGCTTGTGCTACTAACTCAAGCTGAGAAAATAATTTCATTGCAATTTTTGACATTTTTATACCTATAGCTATGTTGATATTTATAGGATTCCCAATATTCTTATATTTAGACATCAGTTACATGAGTGATAGGTTGTTTTAGTATTCCTGAGTCAACAAAGCATTTGAAACTAAGGTAGGAGACGTCTGAAGAAGCTCTCCTGCATTATTCTCACTTGTTTAGAAATGACAGTGTGCCACATAATTTGCCACAGCATTATAACATTTGTGATTTAGCATTAAGTTTAGTTTATCCATTAACATTACAAAGTATCTGCAGTGCACATCAGTGCCACTTCTGACTTAATCTGTGAACTGTTCAGGAACAATTTTCCGTGATAACTTTCGGTAAGAATTCTGTATGTTGTGCACAATTCAGCCAAACCACACCACTTCTCTTGCCAGTGACCTGCTTTCTCAAACACTTGAAAACACGTTGTTTACCTCTTGTTTCTCTCTGCATCTGAAGATTTTTGTGACTATATCTTTTAAGTATGTTAGACCTTTCTACTTTAACCAGGTTCTCTTGTCTCATTAGTAAATTGCAATCTACTTCATTTTGCTTGAACGCTATAGTAATAACTGCATTTCACTGTACCAGACTGTGGCTTCTACGTAGCCAAACAGAGCTCTGCCGACCAAGACTAAACTGGGTACTTGAAAGGCCAGCCAAATTCTTTTACCATATTACTACTGCAAGATGGTGGTCTCAAACAGGGAGGGGAAAAATGTAGTAGGGACCACATCTGAGCTAAAGCAACAGCTGTATTAAGTAGTCTGGTACTTTCAACTTGGAACTTTCAGGTACAGTCTTCTGACTGAGAACTTCTGAGTATGTCTCTAAGTGGTGGCTTTTTTTTTAATATACCAATGGTGGTTTGATCACATTGCTGCAGGTGTTTGATGTCCTCCCAATCATGCTATTGACTCAGACTCACTATGGCTGAAACTGGCTCCTTGCCTTTGTCCTAGCTGATCTTATTGGAAGCAGGAGGGAGAGAGGCAGGCAACGATGTGGTATTTTAACTCCTGACATTTCTTTGACTCACCCAGTCTTGATACTGCTTATTTTATAATTATGTAGTCCCTCTGTCCTAGCTGGCTAGATGTTGCATTTGTTGTGCTCATTTTCCAGGAGCACTGAGAGGGACTTCCTGTGGAAGCATCCTGCTTTATCAGGCGTTTTAACCTTACGTATTGAGGCCTGAGTGCTTATGAAGTACTCGTACAGCTGTGAGACTTTGTCCTGCCTGGTAGGGTAATTGCATCCTTCCACTGTAAAACCAGCCACAGTGGGACAGGACTGAGGTTCAGAATGCTGACTTTGGCAGCACCGCCATTCTCTCATCTGTTCTCCTATCTTCAAACTCAAGCCACCTTCTCTGATGTGAATTCCTTAAGCCTGACTCCTGGCCCGCGCCTGTAACGTGCTTCATGCCCTCCTTGGTCTCTGCATTTCAGTAACATTGATGGCTGATGCCTGATATTTGGCGGTCATTCTGCACATCCTTAACAAAATTTTATGTGGTGCCATTTTGTAATATTAAAAACGGGTACAAGACTGCATTGCATGTCGTCGTATGTCGTAGTTGTGAGCTTTATCTTTCTGTAAGCCGCTGCTTCTTTTTCACTTGTCTGGCTTTACAGTCACAGAAAACAAAAAGCATCAGCTCAGTGGACCTTATTTATTTATCTTGGTTATCGTTCTACATAAGTGCCTCCACACACATGTTTATGCTTTTTGTGTAAGTACAGCTTCCCATGAAAAAGCCTTTGTTAGGATATATGCTGATTTGTCTTCTGTTCCCATGTCTGTATTTCTTCCACACAAACATGCTTGCTTTCACCATCTTGAGTTTTTTCACTCTGCTCTTGATATATTTAACAGTAAAAACAGGTTGTGAGACGTAGAGTGTCGTAAGTCTTTTAAGTATTTGTTACAATGAAGAAAATGGTCAATAACTGGTAACTTCTATTGGCTGCTTGTTAATTAATTTTACATTAAACTTCGGTAAATGGTTTTGCAATCTGGGTTTCAGTACAGGAATCTCTACAAGCAAGTGTGCCATCTCTCCATGCTCTAAAAGCACAGGAGTCTGCAGGAGGCAGATTGCCAGCATTTCAAAATATGTCAGCTGCTAGTAGAGTACAAGGTACACCAGACACTTCTGAACTGGCAAGAACCTTACCTCAGAAATATAGAAGGAGGCTTATGTCGGATGAAGAGATTGACTATATTCAGGTAAGTTTCATTTATTGATGCGCATTGCCTGTATCTACCTAGCATTTAGCTTGTTTCTACACCTTCTCCAAAGTTTCAGATACGGTATTGCATTGTGATTCTTGGCAAGGGTGCGCTCCCAGCTTGCATAGCCTTGATGCAGAACACTCAAACTACAAATTCTTAATACACAAGGTACCCAGCCCTCACTAAGTAATAGCTTGTGGTATCGCTGAGTAGAGAGGTACGGACTTAAAACAGATGTGCAGGTAGCTAGCGATAGTGGCAGCCTGCGTTGATCGCACAGTCGCTAACCTGTTCTGTAATGGCTGATTAAGGTGCAATTTGAACGTGCTGGGCTGGAGCACAGGAGTCTGCTCCTAGGCCAGTAAAGGCGATCAAAGTCCAAAATATTTCTCAACCTAGTTTTTATAAGTTATTTATTAGTAGGTTAACTCTTGTATTGCTAGTAGTGGAAACAGTTTATTAACCTTGATATAAGTATTTTCTGCAATATTTGCAAATATGGCATTGTACGTGAAAGGCAAGTAAAACCAGCTTCTGTTCTGTAACAATTCTCAGCCGTAAACACTGATGCTTTAAAAAGGGAGAATGCACAAAATCTGAAGAACATGTGAGATGGGTGCGAGTTTGAAATGACAGGGCGCTTGCACAGCTTTGGTAAATGGTAAGAACACCTACAGTGTAACCATGTTGGCAGAGGAAATGAGTTTTCCTGCATGTGTGGGGGTAGGGTATCATAAATTAATTATTTCCCATAGTAATACACTTCTTGATCTCTAGCATAAATGTTCTAATGGTGAGGTAAGTTGTAAAATAACTTTGCTGGCAAAATAATGAACTTAATACTTTTCAGATTTCTCATAAAGATTGTAGTGGCTCACCTTGGCTTTGTTTTTACTTTGCACTCTGGAATATTGGGCAGTGAAAATAAGTAATTTTAAACTTTGTGTTCGTGACTGCTGTAAGTCAGGTTCCTTCAGAAGTGGAAGCAGCCATGATATTTTTGTGTTCTCACCTGACAAAATGGAGCTGTTACTGGTAGATGCTGATACTTGACGCTCTGTGCATGTTCTTCTGTAGATGAAAAACCAATGTATACATCAGAAATTAAAAGTAAATTCCATCTGTCTTTCTGTAACAATGCAAAAGAAGATTCGATCTCCATTTCCTGTTTTTCTAGTGGAATATATTTTAACGGTCTGCTTTTCTTTTACAGCGTGGAGGTCCGGAATAAGTTTGGATGGTAGTTTATTGGCCACTGTTGAAGAATGAAGTATTGTATTCACAATAAAGGCATTTCCTTCATATTATAAATCATTGCATACTAGTAGCTTTAATAAAAAAATGTATGAAGGGGTGAGAAGGTCGACACAACACACTGTATATTCATTTTGTGATTGAGAATTTTCTGTCGCTGGCTAACTAGCAATTGAATATACTTGATATTCATACCATTAAAGTATTTTTCTAATTAGCCATTTGCAAACTGGGCAACAGAACCGAGTAATTGTATGTTTCTACTGAAGAAGATCGGCACGTCTCATCAGGAATGGTTCTAGGGCCATGAAGGGGGGGCACCGAGGCATTCTCGGAGGTCGTGGAGGCTGCGGTTGATCTCAGCAGCTGCACAGCTTCGCTCGGGCAGTTGCGCGGCGGCGTTTTCCCCCAGCACCGGATCTGGGGTTGGGAGCAAATTACAAAGGGGTTCTTCCGGGATCCCGTAACTCGCTCACCGTTTCCGCCGCTGGGGCCGGTGGCAGTTGGGAGGCCGCCACGCCCCTG